CTCAGTCCCTCCCTTTCTCCCTCCCTCCCTCCTCCCTCCCTTCTTCCCTCCTTCCCTCATATTGTGTAGCTCAAGCTGGCCTGGAACTTACTGTGTAGGCCAACCTGGATTCAAACTCACGTCAATCCTTCTGCTTCAGCCTCATGAATCTTGGGATTATAGGCATGAACTTGCAATCTTCCTGCCTAAGCTTTCCAAGAGCTGTGTGCCCTCTGCTCCTACCTGTTTCCCTGCTACTTCCTATCCTCTGTGACCCTAGGCTCTTTTGATCTTTTGCATCTTGCAGGGGCATGGAGTCACTGACTTCCTACGCCTTGTCTGCTATTGTTCATCAATTCAGCAAACATCTATTGGACACTTCTGCACTCTGTGTCAAGTGCTGGGGTATGAGCTGTGGAGAAAAAGATGAACAGGATACCCTATCAACCTGCTTGAGCTAGAATGGAGACAGACCAGTGAACATATAATTACACTGCAGTCTGCCAGGTGCTCTACTGAGGACATGAACAATATTGCCTTTGTCTGAACTTGGTTCCCAGCCCGCTTTCACTCACTGGCTTCCTCTCATTTAGCCTCTGTTCTCTGTGGAATCATCCCTGCAGCAGTTGGCTTCCCTGAGCCCCAAATCTGGCTCTGGCCTCTTAGACCTTGTGCCCTGGGATGGAGGGGGGTTAGGGTGGCAGGAGGATGGGGGCTGGTAGGGAAGGTATATATGGATGGGGTAAGCAGGGATCGTAGAGTCCATGAGAGAGGTTTGCAGAGCTCAGTGAATGGGGGGATTCCACTGAGACTCCAGGTAACAGTTTAGGCACAAAGAACAGGGGAGCAAGCCATGACCACTGCTGTCAGACATAGGGGTGCATGCCTGTAGCCCTAGTGCTCAGGAGAGGATCAGGAATTCAAGGTCATTTTCAGCTACATAAGGACTTCAGGGGTAGCCTGGGCTATGTGAGACCCTGCCTTGAAAATCTGAAAAAAGAAAGCTTGAGGCATGGCTATTGTAGGGGCACAGAGGCATGATGGGATAAGGAAGGCAGACTACTGAAGATTATCAGTTTGTTGGGAGCCATTCCTCATCTCATTTAAAACACACAACAACCCCACAAAATGTCATCACTGGCTGAATTTGAAAGGGGAACTGGGGCTTTCAGAGCCCATGTGACTTGACAAGGCCCATTGATAGCCGACCAGTAATAGAGCCTCAGCTTGCCCCTGGGTGATTCTGCCTCTCTTGTTCATGTTCTTATCATAACCCTCACGCTCAGTTGCCCAAGTATTGATTTGAAATACTGTGAGGTGTGATGTGTAGGGCAGGCCCTGGTGAATTTGCTTTAGGAGCAGAAGGGAACATAGAGGTCCTGTCAGCAGAGGCTCCTCTCTTGGTTCCCACTAGCAGATGTATGTTTCCTGTTCACCTCCTGAGTGGGTTCCAAGGAGTACTGCCTGGACTCTGCTTCTGGTGGGCCTGCCCAAAAGACTCAAGGTGAAGCTGAAAAGTCTTTGGCAGGGATTGCCCAGAGAACAAAGGGATTTGCTTTGGCAGAGATCCTAGCTCCTGGCATCTGGTGACATTTACCATTGCCTCTGAGCAGCTCATGCCTGTCTGCTAGGATGGAGCATGGATAACTCCTGAACTGGAGCTATGGCCCTTTCTCTAGGTTCACGTCATCATAATTATGACTCTTGAGGTCTCACCTAGAGAAAGGTCTAGCAACCTCCAGGGGTCAGTGGGAGGTCTACATTCTTTCTGTTGCCCCAAATACCTACAGTTAGTGATAGGCCACCAGAGATGGTGAGAACATGCCAATTTTGGCACAGCTGAGCTTAGGTGACCATCCCAGTTTTGGTCATTCTTCCATCAGATGTATCTAAGCACTTGATCTGTGTTTGGCATTGGTCTAGGCTTCCTCATATACTGGGTGATCTTTTTGCAAGTTACAAATAATCCCCCCCCCGTCTCAGGTTTCTCTGTAGTAAAGTGGGGCCCATAACAGCTTCCTCACAGGATAAAAGACCAAAAGAAAGTACCCGTGTAGACACAACTGATGCTCCTCATGTGCTATTTCCTTCCCCTCCCTAGCTGTGCAAAGGAGTGAACAGAGAGGCTAGGTGGGCTGCTAGGCAATGGTGAAATGCCAGGGACACCCAGTCACTGCATCATTGGCAGCTCTATGTGGCATCTTACATGAGCTGAATCCAGTCCCCAGTCCTTAGCTGACCTGGAAGCTAGCCATTTATTTACCTATTTATTTATTTTAAAATTTATTGAGTCTACTGCTGAAGAGACTGTGCTGAATGTTGGGGATGTGGTAGCAACAACGCCCTAGTCAGTATGTTGAACATCTAGCCACTGTTCTGCTACTGCTTTGTAAAACAATTCTGCACAGTTCTAACATGTTTACTTAGTTTCCTAGCTAAGCAAAATAAAAGCTAGGAAATAGTGTCTGTTCATAAGGGCATTGAAGGCAGCAAGAAATGACAGCTGGCATTCACTCAGGGAGGAAGGAAATCAGTGGAAACAATGAAAGGCAAGCTCAGAGCAGAAGTGATAAAATACAGCACCATTCACAGGATGAAAGCCAGACTCATCACCATCCTGCATCAGGCTGAGTGACAGGTGCTCTGTTCAAAGATACCTCAAAGCTGAAATGGCTGACCTACAGTACCATTTGGAGGAGTGAACCCAGAGGGCCCTGACTCATCATGACTCTGCATCAGACTGTTGAACAGGTACATCCAGAGATAAAGAAAGGTCATTGTCCTAAGTGCTGCCCTGTTTTAATGGTGCATCCCTCCTGTGGGGTGGTGGTAGCTCCAGCTCTGGCTCTGCAGCTGACTGTGGGACTTTGAGTAAGTCTCTATGCTTGCTGGCTTGCTTGCTCCTTCATGAAATAATGTTTCTGGATATTTTCTAAAGTGACTTTAAGTCTGAAAATCTGTCTGGACATGCTTGCTTTGATTGTCATGATGCCATCCCTCTCAGAGACACAGTCAGTCCATGGTGACTGCCCACTTGGCATCATCTCTCCCCCACCTTCAAAACCTGTAATCCCAGTACTCAGGAGACTGAGGCAGGAAGATCTCAAATTCAAGGCAGCTTAGGCTACACAATAAGTTCCAGGATAGCCTGAACTATATAACAAGACTCTCAAAGAACTAAAAAAGTACTTAAGAAAAAAAAACCCTATGTCTGAAAGCCAAATTTGGATAAAAATGGCAAAGAAGTACATAAAGTATTTTAGAACAACGTTTAGTTAAAAACTTTTTGGTTCTTAAGAGTAAGGCAGTAGCTAGCCAGCAAACTCAGCTACTGGAAAAGACATGTTCACACCTTGCCTATCCTTCATAATGACTGGATTAAAGGTTTACCTGGGTATGTCACAGACAGGAAAGTGAGCCCCATGGTGGCTACAGTGGGACAAGGGCCAGAGAACTGGCACTTGAAAACAATGAGCTCTGCTATGGTAGGCTTCATAGGACAGTTTTTCATGAGAAGCAAGTCATAGATTTGTGGGTGGGAGAGGATGGTGCCAGGTCACCATGGACTGACTCCCTCCAGGAGGGATGACATCATAGTAATGAGAACTGGAGTCCCTCAAGGCCTTGCTGGGCTTCTGCCCCCTCCTCCAGTGCTGACATTGCCAGTAGACAGGCAGCCACTTTGAAGAGCCTAGTGATATGTAAGGGGCTGTTCTTCTGGGGCCCACCTGAGCATGCTAGCCGGGCGCTCTGAGGAGCGGCTTCATTGGTGGTTTCTTGGGCATGGTGGCCCCTTGAGGGCCAGGTTTAGGGGTAAGGAGCTATGTTCAGCCTAGCCATCAAACTTCACCAACAGGGGGCAGGTCTAGCTGGGGTAAGCTGCAGTTCACTGACCTCCCCTGGCACCATGCTGTTCTCCGGACCCTCAGCTTGCTCCGGCCATTTTCTCTCTAGCTTTTCAATGGTGAAAAATTGAGACTGGGAAGGAAACTAGGGAGGAAGGAGATGGGGGGCAGGCAGAATTCCATCCTTTAGTGTGAACAGACCTAGAAGTTTCTAGGAAGGGGTTGAGTTTAAGGGAGTGTGAAGAAAAGGCATGTCTGGTCTCTGTGTCCCTCAGAGGTTCCCTTTAACCCTGTCTATCCAGCTGTGTGGATGTGATGTGGCTGTCAATGTGGCCCATTCACTTGAGCTGATGGAGACATAGAGCCACAGGCTTGCAACCAGTGCCCACCACAGGGTACTCTTCATGGAGCTGGGTCCTACTTTGCTTCCCTCTTCTCCCCCCAAGGTGGGATTTTTCTCAGTCAAGCAAACCTGCCCACAATGCTTATTGGGAGCAGGGGAGACCTCCATATTAAACCCTCCCATTTCCTCCTGGCTCCAGGCAGCAGCTGTTTTCTTGCTGACCTTTCTCCATAATAAGCCCCCCGCCAAGGTCCTTGGGTGAGGTGACTTCTATCACCGCTCTTATCATTTTGTGCTCTCTCTCTCTCTCTCTCTCTCTCTCTCTCTCTCTCTCTCTCCATGGAGTCTCATGTAGCCCATGTTGAGCTTGAATTCCCTGTGTCGCTGAGAATGATTTTGAACTCCTAATGTGTGTCACCATGCCTGCCTTAGTTTTTTGGTTTGCTTTTTCTCTTGTGTTCAGAGCTGGTAAAGTAAAATCTTTTTAGAACCAAGCCAGCCCCAGATCTTAGCACGTGCATGGTGTGAGGAGATGGGCACCCCCCAGAAAGCTCCTACTTCCACCTAGGCTTTGATGCCCTAGCATAGCCCCCTGGGTTTCCTGAGCCATCCGGACACAGGAACATGGATCGTCTACTTGCAGTTAAGAGTAAATGAGCTGCTGGTCAGGAGACTGGACCAGAGTCTCAGTCTTGAGGTTGGCAGCTATTGTGATGTACTGCAATGGGCACAGCTGCCCATCACAGCCTGGAAGAAAGACTGTGGCCTTGTGCAAGATCATCATTTAGACAAGTATTGTTCCTCCAATACCACACTGCCTACCTTTGGCAGCTTTCTAAAACTAGACTGGGGGAGGCACAGGAAGATGAACAGAGGAAGATGAACTATGTGGGGGCTGCTGGGAGATTAGACATTGTGATTGAGGTACAAGTGGCCCCAGTATGTGAGGGAGCAGAGCGTGAGAAATGGAGTTCCTAGGATGAATTCCTTTCACCTTTCAGGCCCTTTTGGATTCCATTTTTGTTTTTTTATGCCCAGCTTGGATCCTATTCTTTTAAACGTGTACAAGGCAGTGATTGGGATGGGTGAGCCTAGGATACCTTACTCCTAGAGGCCTAGGGACTTACCTGTGGCAGTCAAACTGAGCCTGAACCTCAGGGTCACCTGCCCAGGCTGTAGCCTGTATCTTCTGGAAGAACCATGTAGAGGATCACAAGAGAACAACAACCACAAGGGTTTAGGAAGTGGGACCTTGAGGTTTGAACAGTGAGATGGCTGCTGGCATGTAAAGCCCAGTCAGTCAATGATTGCAGCACACAGACTGCATGTCTGACTTAGATTTTGTTCTTTTTAAAAATTTTATTTATTATTTTCACTTTATGTGTATTATTGTATTGCCTGGATGTATACAAGTGCACCCATGTTGTTCAATGCCTGCAGAGGTCAGAAGAGGGTGTTGGATGCCCTGGAACTGGAGTTACTGTTGGTTGTTAGCTGCCATGTGGGTACTGGGAATTAAACCCGCATCCTCAGCAAGAGACCAGTCAGTGCTCTTAACTGCAGAGCCATCTCTCCAGCCCCTGGATTTGGTTCTTAAGACTGATCTACTCACGCTTCTTCTGAATTTTGTTTTTATTTTATTTATTTCTTGTTAAGTTTCTTTTTTCTTTTTTCTTTTTGGACAGGGTCTCCCTAGTCTCAGCCTGCCTGGAAGTCACTATGTGAACCAGGCTGGCCCAACAATCTCACCTGCTTCTGCCTCCCAAGGGTTGGGATTAAAGGCACATGCCATCCACTATACCATGCATTGAATTTTGTCTCTAAATGATTCATAGCAGATCATGCTAAGCAGTTGAGGAAAAGTCAAACTGGAGCCCCAAACCTCAAAGCCCTGCTTCTCTCATCCCGGATCTAGCTCTCTTGCCCCATGCCATTGTGAGTGACCAGGGACTTGTTCTACAGGGCTCATAGAAGTTAGATAATGGGCTCCAGGCTCATAGTTGGTGAATAGCAGAGGCAGGACTCCAAGCTATATATGATACCAACACTTGTGTCCTTAACAATTCATCTATCTGCCACTCAAGGTATGGGCATGGCCTGTCCTTTTAGTTTTCCCTTCCCAGAAAAATGTCCTATTTAGATCATCTGGGGAAAAGATAGCCCTTACCTATCCCTGTCTCTGCCACAGAACATCGACAGGGTGTGATTTGGGGGAAAGAGGGATAAAGCCACACATACCAGGTTCATATCTTGATTCTACTTAGGCCTCATACCAGGAAAGATGACTGGAAGCTCAGAGTACCATGGTGTCAGCACATGACCCATGATGGTCATGCACTGATAACATAGATGCTGAGTTTAGAAACAGGAGAGGTACATTCCAGGCTGGGGCTGGGGAAAGGATTGGTCTGGAGAGAAGGGCTAGGGGGCATGCTGTGGCCAGTTGTCCTTACTACTTTAAACTGCATGGGAGAGTAGCCCCTGAGAGGGTGTTTGGAAATGCTGGCTCCTGGGTCTTTCTGCCTCATGTCCCGAGTCTGCAGGTTGGGGATAGAGCCAAGGAATTTGCATTTTAAGTAATGCCCCCTCCCCTGATTATGATGCAGGTGTCCCCCTTCCCCTGCATCTTTTGAGAAGTACTATTCCCAGGGATACCAATTCACTAAATGAGGTGGCAGAGGAGAGGCCCCACTCACCCATTAGTGTTCCTGTTGGGAGGGTGGTGTGGTCTCTGTCCTTGGCCCCATTCCCCACATGAAGTCATCCTCATCCATATTACAAAACAACCATGTGCTGTTCTCCCTTTGTTTCCAGGGCCATGCCCATCAAGACAAAACAGTTAAATGATAGCAGTACCCAGTGTGTCCAGGACCTGCACTGTCTTCCCTAGTCCTGGGATTTTATTCTTTTCACAGCAAAAGATGGGAATGTGACCTTTGTATAGTGGGGAATTCTGAGGTTCAGGAAGCCAGTGAACTGCCCCCAAGTCACCCAGAAACCTAAGACAATACTAAGATCTGGACCTCTGCTTTCTGTCGCCATAGCCTTCTAATGCTATGACCTATAGGTCATAGCCTGCTCAGACCTATAGGCTGTGGGCAAACCCAGCTGCAGAGCTTTGAGGGGAGCAGACCATAGCTAAGACGGTCTATCCTGGGTTAGAGTGAAAAGCAGAATCTTACCCATCTGGAGGACACACACCAAGCAGACCAGGAGTTGGATGGACCCTTCCATGCTGTAACATCCAGAGACCCAGCAATCCTGCACCCAGCCAGGCCACCATGGAAAGCTGTGTGTGGCAAAGGCAGTTGGGTGGGCTGTGTGTCAAGTCTGCAGGCCTACTGGACTCTATGCAAGTGGAGGAACTGGAGAGAGGCAGCCAGGCTGCCGGTGGTATGATTAGACAGGACCCGTGCAGCTTAGTCATGTGGAAAACCAAGAGGGGAACCTCAGGGATGACTTTCCTAGCTAGAAAACAGGGAAGCAGAGGGTAAGAAGTGGGGTCTTTCTCCCCTCCTCCCCTCCTCCCCTCCTTCCTTCTTTCCTATTCATTTCCCAACCTCCCTGCCTATATTTTCAGCATTCTAGATGGTGTGGTCTCCTTCCAGCCCCTTCTTTTTTCCTCCCCTCTCTTTTCTAAAGAGGCTTTAGCAAGATGTTATGGGGAGGAATCTGTCAAAGCAATAACTGACAGTGAGGCTGTGGAAAGATGTCAGGATGCGCAAGAAAAGACTAGACTAGCTGATGATTTACTTTCGTGATCAGAGCCCTCTCCAGAGAGTCTCCCTTATAGAATACTTCTAAAAGTTTAATGCTCACAAAGATCACCTCTGGGTCTTGTTAAATGTAGGTTCAGATCCAGGTGGTCCAGGTGGGCAAGCCATTTGCATCTTTAACAAGTGTCAGGTAATGCCTAAGCTTCAGGCCCTTCAGCTGTGTTTTTGAAGCTTCCCCCTCCCCATCCTAGGGTCACTGAATGGCATTATCAGGTGGAAGTCAGGAAGAAGGGAAGGAGGGACTCCTGGAGGCTTATTGGATGGTCTCTAGGTTAGGGATTGGAAGAAGACTAATCATGGCTGAATTACCAATGGACTCCATAGGGACTGGAGTTGGAATTGCATTTGAACTGTGATAGCCAGTTTCTTTTCTGGTAATGAACTGAGCTTGTGTCCTTCCACCCCATACAGAGGTCACATTAGCAAAGTGCCTCTTTCTTAAGTTCTTCCTAATGTTGGGCAGCAGTAGGGTTCGCAATCCTGAGGGGTAAGAGATAAAATGAGATATAGTTTTTGGAATTCATATGCAACAAAAGCTCTCACTACCCATCAAGGTGGCATGATGACAATGGTCTAAGAGACTGTGGTGGTGGAGGCTTAGTACCACCAAGAAAGAGTGGAGCTCCACCTCCACAAGTGAACGCTTGAGGTCTAAGGTGGAGCTTTCCTCAGTGATGGTGTGGCTCTCAGGATTTCATTTGCCTCTTTTATCCTCTGTACTCTTCTTCCAAATTCGAACACTAGGGGCAGCCTGTTTGGGGAAATCTGTGGCGTTAATTAAAAAAATGGACCTGGGACGTAAAAATGATGGTGGTGGTGGGACTTGGAGGGTGGATAGCAGATCACTTCATCCTGACAGAGTGGGGTATACCCTCTGCCCTGGGGCCTTATAGCTACACATATAAACCAACTCCCTTTTTTTTTCTCTGAATCGCCCTACTTTTTTCCCCTCTCTTTCTCCTCTTACTTTCTTCTCTCTCCCTTCTCTTTTTCTCCCCCCACCACTTATCTTTTCTTTCACTCTCCGCCCCCCCCACACCATCTGCCTCCTCCTGTGCTACAATAAACTCCAGGCTGAGTACTACTTGAAAGTGAATATTTGGGAAAACACTTGGTGGGAAGGAATCAGCTTTATTCAAGGGCTGCTCTGAAGAAGGTGGATGGACTCCCATCTTTGACAAAGCTCCATCTTGGGGGACTTAGGGGGTGCAACAGTCTTTTGTAAGGAGGAAGGGGAGGGGCAGAACTGGGCAGGGTCTTTGTTATTCAGGACATGCGTCTCCTTTTATCTTTGTCTTCACACACCATACTAGTTCTGTGCCTCCTAAAGCCAGCTCCTGTAATTCTCTATCGGGAGACACACCACTTTTCTGAGCTTATATCAGTTTACATGCTTTCTGTTAGTTGATTCAAAGAACTAAAGACCGAGGCGGAGCATTACAAGGCCTACCAGAAGTTCTGGGTTCTATAAATCGGAGACAACGTCTTGACCATTTCAGTTACCTTCTCTCTAGAATTTAGAATGCTGAGCAAAAGGAAGGAAATGATGTAAAAGGCTTAGGGAGGGGCAAAAGGGGCAAAAGGGGTAACCTCTGCCCAGGACAACTCCCCGAAGGAGTGGCTTTGTAACACCAGGACTTCTGTCCTTATAATAGGGCCAGGCTCTGGTTTACAGCAATAATTCTTTAGAAACAATAAATAGAGTAAAAGTTTACCTGGCAAAGTGAGCAAGTAAATCAGGATCTGATGTCCCCCAAGCTTGGGTTTGGGTTTCCAATGCCCATAGATGTGTGTGGAGATGTATGTATAGAGACAGGTATATAGTATATACACATAGTGACTGTTCAGATAAATGTTTATGCTTGTATTACTGGACTATAAGCTGATGCTGCTTTTTCCCAATTTCTCTGTGTTACTGGGTTAGGATCCATACTGTGGGTTTATTGGAGCAATGTTCAGGAGTCAAAAGCTGGCAGGAAGGAATCAAATGTATTCAATTAAATTTATTCAAATTTATTATTTATTTTATTATTCAAGGGCTGACTCTGAAGAGGTGGAAGGACATCACCCTCAAAGTTCTGTCTTGGGGGAGCTCAGAGGTGCACAGGGCTCTACTGGGGAAGGAAAAGAGGGCAGAGCAAGGAGGCTGTGTAGTGAGTGGGTCTTTGTCATCCAGAGCATGTGTTTCCTGTTTTCTTCCTCAGACACCTTTTCCCGCTGCAATGGGCCTCCACCCTTTGGGGCTAGCTCCTACAGCTCTTTTTCTTTGAATACTTTTTGACAGGTTGTAGAGTTTATTGGTGGGCATGATGAAGCAGGGTAGTACAATGGAAGCCCTTGCAAGGCCAGGGCTCTCAACTTGTCTAGATTATCATTGGGATTTGGTCCACTCTTGCAGCCATTAGAGGTGGCTTCACAGTTAGTATAGATGACCGTGGTGATGGGGTCAGTGTGAACCCTGGCCACCGTGCTCTGGGGCTTTGCACACTTGTCTGTAGCCTAGACCAGGGATGGTACAATGTTGAGACATGAAGTTCCCCTAGAAAGCAAGGTCTCCTCTCTAAGTTCTCTTAAGGCAATGCCTGAGGAGGCTGCTCATACAGTCATACAGTCATGTAGTTCTTTATAGACAGACTTAGTACATCTCTGCAAGTTAAACCTCATGTTAGTTTGCATGGTGCATGTTACTAGGTATACAAAACAAAAGATTGGAGAGGGGCCTTACAAAGGTTGCCAGATATTCTGGGTTCTGTAAATAAAAAGGATTATTTAGCAGTTAACATCTTAGACATTGAGGCGGGGCCCCCCTCTAGAATTTAGAATACCTTACAAAAGGATTAGGAAAGGGCAGAAGGGCAAAGGAGGGGAAAGCAAGTAGCTTTGCCAAGGACAATTCCCCAAAGGAGCGGCCCTGTGCAGCTGGGCAGGCCTGTTTGTACTTTGTAAGCAGGATGACTGTATAGCTCATTGTATAAACTGGGACACCTTTCTCTTGGACAAATGCTAAACTGTTGGAGCACCAACACAATAGTCATGAACTAAGACTATACTGGGAAAATTAGCCTGTTTTGGTCATCTTTTTCTAGAAATGTCATCTGATAATACACTTCTTATAGAATGTCTCAAAGCCTTTATGGATTTACACATAAATACTTAGGCTCAGTATGGAGGATGGTGGAAGGACCCAGTATAGGACTGTCCTATTTAGGATGGTTCCATGTGTAGTTTTTCTACGTTGAGATGACATAAAAATGTTATGCATTCAGTGCTCCAGATTTTGAATTTTAATCCTTTTTTTCTGAGCTAGTGATTTACAGTATGATCATCTTTTAAGATGTTAGACAGAGACAATGGGACCACTGTGTTCAGTCACAGTATCACATGGATGATCAACCCCCCTATGGTGTGTTATCTCATGACACTGTAGCTCAGTAGATTAGGGGTGTTGAATGCAAGTTCAGTTCATTGTGGGTTTGTCAGGATAAGATCCCACCATAATGGAGGAGCGTCTGCATTCCCGGTTACCCAAGCTGACCCTTGTCCTTTCTTTCCAGGTTCTTTGCCTCCGTTTTCCCTATAGTCACCTTAATGTGGGTTGAGATATATGTGATAGAGTCTCATGCTAATATCACAATATTAAACAAGGCTCAATTTTTAAGTCTCACAATTCTTTTTAAAGTCTCAAAGTCTTTAATAAATTTCAGCACTTTAAAAGTCTAAGTACTCAGCTGGGCGTGGTGGTGCACACCTTTGATCCCAGCACTTGGGAGGCAGAGGCAGGCGAATCTTTTTGAGTTCCAGGCCAGCCTGGTCTACATAGTAAGTTCCAGGCCAGCTGGGGCTACAGGGAAGCCCTGTCTCAAAAAGATGAACAAAACAAAACAAAAAAACCCCCAAACGTCCAAGTACTCTTTAGATACCCAAAGCCTATTAACTGTGGCTAAGACCCATTTTTAACTCCAGTTCCAGGGATCTGATGCCTTCTTCTAGCCTCTGTGATATTCATGGTGCACTTACATACATGCAGGCAAAACACTCATACACTTAAAATAAAAATGAATAAAATCTTTTTTTTAAAGTGTAATTCAGCACCTAAATAGACTTAGGGACAAAAACCATATGATCATCTCAATCAATACAGAAAAAGCCTATGACAACGTTCAGCATCCTTTCATATGAAAGTCCTAAGAAAAGTAGGAATAAAAAGAACACATCTCACCATGATGCTAAATATGACAAATGTAGCCAACATTATATGGGGGAAAATGGACAGCATCTCCTCCCAAATCTGGAATGGACAAAGGTTTCTACTCTTAGTAATTTTGTGCGGTGAAGCCTTAGTTAAAGAATAAGAGAAAGAAACAAATGAAATACAAACAGGAAAGGAAGAAGTTCAGTGTCTCTATTTGCAATTGACCTGACCCTATTCTTAACAGACCTTACAGATGCACCAGAAAA